ATTTTTGAAATATCCATATAATGCGATTTTGTTTCATTTTTTTCCATATATATAGAGAGAGGCAAAGATAGAAAGTGTGAACATTGAAATCAAAACTATATAGTGACTGTCAATTTCAAGTTTCAGTGTGATCTTCAGACAAAATTCGTCTTGTCTGAAGGTAACATTTAGGTGTAGTTTTACACCTCACCAGTCACCATGCAGTGTTGATCCCTATGTCCACAATGTCAATAGCTGCTTTATTCCCAATGTTAAGTAATCTTCTCTTATGAATATAGAAAATATTGAACAGTATATGTATGTATATATGCATATGTTTAAAATTTTATATTTATGGGAGAAAAGTGCTGTGACGTCGTCCCCTGGTCGCAGCGCCAACTGTGATATCCTATCCTGGTCTACCACGGCACCAACTGTGATGTCCTCGCCGCGGCGCCAGCTCCAAACGTGACGTCCGCCTGTCACGTCAGTCGTGTCGTCTCGTCATGTGACGACCAACTGGCTTGGTATCGGTCGCGGCACCCAAATGTGACGTTCTAACCTTTTGGTGTTTCGGGTGGGAATCTGGTTAAATTTGATATCAGCCTCGTCGTTCCCAACTCGCTTCCAACGCCTGGTTACCAAAGTAACTGCATTGATCTCCAGTCTGCCTACCCACGTTGTGAATTGATCTTAGGCAGACGAGATCAATCAGTAGTTGGGGCCGTAATGCAAATCGGGTTCAACGGGGGTGACACTACACAAATATGCATAAAAGAAAATAAAATGAAAACTCAAAAGTTCAAGATATCAAAGTAAAAGATAACAAACTTTATGTCTAGTTGTTCGATACATAGGACTGCATCTATCTCCCGACCCGTTCTATGGATTGTGACACGTTGTTTTCCGTTAGGCGAGTTTTAACGCTTCAAGTTGTTTGCTCTTTAAGTGGTTTTTCAGTGTGTCTTCGGATGAAAGTCGAAAAAAAAACTTATTTTGGTGGTCTGGATCTAAGTCGCTCTTCAAAATAATTGTTCTTGGATTGAAGAGGAGTCCGGAATGTGCGTGAATCTTTCAAGTCAGCTATCTGCGAGGTGGAACCAACTTCCACTGTGAGCTTTGAACTCTCTTCTGCAACTCCACTCTGCTGAACTGGAACTGAACTGATTTCTGCTTGCTGCGGCTTCGCTTATATGGACGCCGACCAAAACCGGGGTGGATTTGTCGGCGTCGGGGGTTCCTCGATAATTCTAAATACATATCCACCTCTTTTATTTCTGGTTAGGAATTTTCCACTCTTTTCCATTTTTGGGAGACTTTTCTTACTCCCACCTTCTCACCATACTTCAGAGGGGCGTGAGCTGCCCTCCCCACTTCTTCGTAGCAGCTTCTCATACCTATCTTCTGGATGGGCGGCGACAGCCTCCTTCGTGTGTCACGTAATCACCACTCGACCAATGGTGTCCTAGTCGGGCGTGGACGAATCCGCAGCTTTGTTTCAGGAAAAAAAAAATATCTTGCTTAACTAAAAAAAAAAATTATCTTTTCTTTTCCTTTTCTTCCTCTTAATCGCAGTTATCATTTTCTCTAGCCACAAACAACGGTGGTCATAACTCTTGTTCTACACCTGGGCTTCGTCAGTTATCTTATCGCTAATTATCAGAATGGGTGGTCTTTTTAACACGGCCAGACGTCGCCCTGAAAAGAACATTTCTAAGTTCCCATTCATTTCCTTTCGGTACATATTTCTGATAACATAATTTTATTATCGCAGGCCAAAGATGTTCCGTCGAAAGAAATCGGTCAGTGGACACATCGTAGCGGCCTTTGACACAAATTTTTCATATCTATCCAAAGCCCTTTAGTCCATCTGTTTTCCGTCACTTATCGAAATAACATTTTCATTTGGATTTTTCTTTGGCCAGCAGTTTGTTTACGCATCCCAGATAACACAGCTGTCGCCAAAAACACACCGATTCCTTTATCCACTCAGAATTTCCCTGTCATTGTAATGACACTCTTTTGCCATTTGTTACTTATCAAAATATCCTTTAACCATTGTCTCTTAGCTGTGGTGTTCTGCTTATCATTTGGGTCTCGCCTCTTTTTTTTTTCTCCTTCTTTTCTTTCTTTTCTTTTTCTGCCTCGGTAAATGGTGCCACAGTGCTCAATATCAGGAATACACACATACTCATATATATATATATATATATATATATATAAATTACAAATAAATGAAATTCACAAATACCCCATCTGAATGGCCATTTCATGCCATCTGAGCTTGTCAACACTAAAAAGTTAGATAAAATATATATATATATATATATATATGTATATGTATACTTAGTTTAATCTGGCACAAGATCATATTAGTAGGTCATTTAGTAAGGATCCAGCCCATTAACTATCATTCTAAACCAGGCATCCATCTGTAAAATGGAACAAATGATTCTTGGTATCATCTTACATGACAGGAAGAGCAACACCTGGATTCAATAGCAGACTGGTGTGAAGGACATAATCAAGACCATCAAGAAGGATGAACATAGACTTTCCATGTCTCTTGTCTCAGAGACAACAGGTAGATTTTTAAAGCAACAGAGTGGACACAAAGACAGTGGAAAAAAAATAGAGGGTGGTCAAAGGCAAGATGGCATGATCTGATTCAATACCTTGGTCACACATGGCTCAGTAAGGCCAGAGATTGGAAATGGTGGAGATCAACTAGGGATGGGTTCCCCCAACAGGAGTGAGAAAGCCCTGGATTTGGATTTAGATTTTTTGATGCTTTAAATGTTGTGCAATTTCACTCTTCCTTCATAATATACAAGTTAATTAAATTTTAAGTTGTTATCCTCTCAGTACGGATATCATATGTTATCAATGTTTTTTTTTTAAACTGATTGATGTTCTGATAATATGTCCACTATGATTTGAGTCTGTCTCATTTGTTCATTTTACTAAATCTTGATTTATATAGATTTTTAAAGTTTTTCTTCACAAATATTACAAACTTATAGATATAAACCAAACTAATTTCACCTATTTTTTTTATTATTGAATCACTTTGATATCCTTATGGGAAAATGAAATAAAATCAATAAATAAAATAATAATAAAGAATAAAAAAAATTTCCATGAAGCAAGTAATAAAAGAAGCAGAAAGGGTTTTTGGTCATCTACGCAATTTTATAACTCCATTTCCAGAAAAGACAGAACCCCTCTATTTCCAATTTCTAATTTTCAAGGCATAGCATTCAGATGTCTTTTGCAGCTCTACTCATGAAATAATTTGGTTGTTCTAACTTGGCACAAGGCTGACATGAGCTCAATCAATATAACCATCCTTAACATGACTTATCCTAATTTCTGGGCCAAAAAGAAATCATCACTTCCAAAAAGGACTAGAAAAAGAAAACTCTCTTCCACTTTCCAATGCAGAGTATTTGGACATGATTTGCAGCTTTGCCCATCATGAAATAAGTGTTTTGGTCATTCCAGCTCAGTGTAAAACTGACTTGTGTTTGACTATTTTAACCATGCTTATCATTACTTCTGCTAATTTACTTCTGGGCCAGAAAAAGAAAATGAACATACACAAGAGACATTGCGAACTTTGTTCCCTACGGTCACCATAAAAAAAGAATAAACAGCCCGTAGTCAAAAGCCAAGTTTTGTTGCTTCTAAATTGTTTATATGTGAATATGCACATACCTATCATACACTAACATGCAACCTTTAAATACTATATCATAATGCCATGAATGAACATTTGAACATCATTTCTTGCTCCCTAAAATTTGGTAATTAAACATTTTTCCTATTAAAGAGGGTTAAGGAGGAGAAATGCTTTATTTTATAAACAAAATTAAAGAAGATATTGTTCATTCATCTGAATGCATAAATTTTTAAATACTTTGCTGCTAATTTTTTCTGACATTTTCCAGGAAATTTTGTATATCAGGTTCAATTCAGTGTTTCATGACACTTGTCATTGCTAGTATCATACTTTAAAATGTTGTTTTGTTGTAACCAATGAATTTTTGGCAACTTGTGTCCAGGAGTTATCCTCCCTTAATATTGGCAACTGAAAATCTGCCCCACTAAACAGCATGAGAGAGGAGGATTTAAGATTGTGAATAGTACCAGTAATACTTACCACATGTTTGGATCAATGGCGACTAAACCAGTTCCCCTACCAGTCTAGACACCCAGCAGGATTAAAGGGCACATGAATCTTCTTGTAGGGTCAATGGCCATCTAGCACAATGGGATAAACTGGGCTCCATAGCTGTCAATGCAACCAGTGGAATGATGAGTCGACATTACTGTTGGGAGGACTTCTCCAGGCTCAAGTCAATGACCATAATGGAGGGTTCTCCTGATGGAATGAACAGTTATATGTCCATGACCAAGGGGGGCCTTCAATTGGGAGGTCATTGGCTGTAGTTTGACCTGGAGAGAGATGCTGTCTTCCAAGTCTACTTACCTAAGACATGCTACTCATGAATGTATACTTCTGGCTTTCAAACCAGATATGTGGAGGGAACTAGTCAGGTGCTCAACTGTACAGTGACCCTACAACCATACCTGGTGAATGGACTGATGATGATGATGACGATGACATATAAGTTTATGGTTAGGATTAAAGACTAAACTTAGTACTAAAATAAGATATGAATTAGCTTGGGGTTGGTTTGCACGGGTGACAAATTATTATTTTGGAAGGAGCACAATCTAAATATCATAAGATATACTGATGGCCCTGTGTTGATGGCAGACACAGAGAAACACACAGAAAAGTGCAGGAACCCCTAAACAAAATAACGAAGAAAAAGTGGAATAAAACAACTAATTGCCAAAAGACAAAGTATATGATTATAAACAAGAAGTACAACCCAAGATGCAAGCTACAACCTGGAGGGTATTTGCATGTAAGTGAATATAATGAATTCAACTCAAACTGGAAATTGGCTCTCCAGTTTCCAATTCTGATTTCACCATCTGCACATCCAAGTTTACAGCACCTGGTATTCCAAAGTAGTCACCCATCTAGGTACTGACTAGCCTCAATGTTGTTTAACTTTGGTGATCACATGAGAACTGGTGCTTCAATGTGATATGGCTGTAATCCTAATGTGACTTGAAATTTGAAAATCTGTCGGAATAATAAATTTGCCTTCCAAAAGCTAAACAAAGAATTTAAGAAACAAAAATTTTGTTATAAACAAAGAAAAAAGTGCTGAACTGCTACATGATATCAATCTTTCTATGTGGCATCAAATGCTGGACATTTTCCTCACAGATGAACAGGATACTAACAGATGCGATTCTACAGCAAAATGCTGAGAATACCATGAACAGAGTAGAGAATGTGAGCAATGACGAGGTTTTGAAAAAATAGAAACAAAAAGGAAAATTAGAAAGAGTTGAAATTTCTTGGACACATAATACAAAAGAGGACATATTGAAGTCAAGAGGGATAGAAGGAAACAGTGAGTAACATACCTAAAAATCTTATATAAATGGATGGTAGAACAGGGAGTTGGAGGAATAATAAAGAAACAAAACATAGCTAAGAACTACAAATGATAGGAACTTGTAGAGAATCATGATTGTCTATGACCTAAAGAAGACACAACACATAGAAGAATTGTTAAATTTAATAATTTCTTTATTTGTGATTCTGTATCTAATATTGATTGTCTTTAATTATTGATAAGCTGTAGAAAATGAACTAATCAATCAGAATGGATCAATAACCCTTCTTCTTATTTTGGCTTACTCAGAAACAGGAGTTAGTAAGTAGAAGACATTCCAGTCTTCTTGTTATGGGAGATTTAGTTGCCCAGCAAACCAACATCTTAAATTTCAAACAAACCATTTGGACATTACAAACACGCACTACAGCTATGCCAATAAATGTTTTCCTTTCTTTTTATGACCCCTATAAAATATAATTTTTGCTTTCTTTTCTTTTGTGAGCTATGTTGTATTTTATAAAAATATGTGTAACATTTACTCCACATGCTGAATTCATTGCTTTTGAAAATGTTGAATTTGTTTACTCTGAAAGTCTTCATCCTAATCAGTCATAACAAGTAGTAACTTGTTGCACTACAATAATGTTAATGACCAGAGCAACCTTGCCCAATACAATTTGTAGTACTATTGACTACATACATATTCAATCAAATTCTAATTATTTTATGACAACCTAGCAGACTACTTGGGTACCATGCTGGATATTTCATGCCATTTCTCAGGACAGTGATTGTAGTGATGGGGTATTTGGTGGTATTCATTAATAGAAGTAGATAGGTTTGTGTATTGCTCAGCTCACACTCCTCCCTCATCTTTTGAACAGGAGTAGAGGTTTAGCTCTTGTTTCCTGCTTAGGATTGGGTTTCCAATTCCTTCTAAAGTCTTCTTATTCTCTTTCACTCCCAGTAGCCCCTTGTGCCTTGGTGGCATTATTGCCTTACTTGGGGTGAATTGATTAAAAAAACAACAAAAAAACTCTTCTACAAGAAACAGGCAACAGGTTGTATTGGGTTACATAGTATCAGCAGCAAGGAATGATCCTTGGCCTGACCTACTGGGAGAGGTGGTTTCATGCCTTTTCCCAATGTCATTAGTGAGCACAAACTACCTCAGGCAGAATTTGAACCTGATTCTTCTTCTTCTACATCATCATCATCATCATCATACTACTACTATTACCACCATCACCACCACTAACACCTAAGCTTAGTAAATATCTCTCAGGGTAATGAAGATTACTTGGAAGCTCTTATATTTCCAAGTAACATGTGACCAGTTAGGCTATGCCATAGTACCAACAGCAAGGAATGGTTCTTGACCTGATATATCAAATACCTAAGATGTATTGCGTTATAAAGCTAAAAAAGGCTCCATCTGCCCTACTGTTTACTCGTAACTGAGAGCAGATTCATGCCTTTCCTATAGGCATTTGTGGGTGTGGTTTCCAATGTGGGGTGCACACCCCAGAAGGGGGCAATTTAAGAATGAGTTATCTACAATTAATTTTTTCTAATGAGTCTGTGAGTTAATATATATGGTGCATACAATATGCATACATAAAAATATTTGTGTATATATGTACATGTGTAATTACGTATGTACTATATATAATGTTTATGTTAGTAACACAATATTTTTATAAATAAAAAATAAAATAAAATTTTATAAATACTGTAAAATTTTAAAATTAAATGAGAGTAATAGTATTGAATATATGCAGTCTCAAGTTTTTAAGGAAAGTTAATGGTCTTTTTTTAGGCTTCCTCCATGTGAATAGGAGTTCACTTTTTGAATAATAAGAATTATATGTCATGGGGGTGGGGGTAACAGGATTTTAGAGATGTTTAGGTAGGGCATGACCACAAAAAGGTTGAGAAGCACCGCATTAGTACAAAGTGAAGGTAAACTACTGTCTCAATCAGAGTTTGAACTCAGTTCATAAATTCCATTCTCTGTGCTGCTAGCCATTAAGTCATACATACCTTCCTCCTCCTTAAATGCCTTTGTCTAGGTACCTTCACAAAATTGCTAAAAATCAGCATACCATGATGAAAACATGCTCAAAACATAATGAAAACAGTTTTATCATCAAAATCTTTGTTATTATTAAGAGGAAGAATCAAAGTATTTTTGAATATTTAATGAAATTTTTTACTCTTTTTAGAACATTTGAAATTTTGATTAAAAATGGTTTTTCTTGCATCAGCGGATGTACTAACTTTTAGCATAGCAAATTTTAGCTTTTTTTCAGACATTAATTTGGAAATTGCAAAAATCAAATAATTCTAGGATTTTAATAAAATTTTCAGGACTTGAATGAAATTAATTTTGAAATATTTTTTATTAGAAAATCTTGGTAAAAATATTTATTTTTTTACATGTTTCACCCCTGCCCCACTTAATTTTATGAAAACTTGAGAAATTCAACATGATAATTTTTAGTGACTATATTAGTTAAAAGCAGACAGACATTCTTTGATGAATGTAAATCACAAAATTTTTTTCAAAATTGGACCCTATCTTACTGAAAATTTGTTCTGAATCAAAAATAAAAAATGCAATAAAACTAAGACATTATTTAATTAGAGAAGCTTTTAATTAGTTTTATGAATAATATATATTAAAGACAATATTGTCTGAAGAAAGAAACATTTTTTGATGAAAAATTAATTTTTACAAGATTTTTAATTTTTTTTCAATTTTAAATTGAATAATTTATAAAGATTTTATTTTTAAATCTTTTAGCATTCAGTTTCAGTGGTGTAACTCTTAGGTAATATTGTTATTAAGTAAAAAATATATTTAGTAAATTAAACATATATTGTAAAGTTTACAATCTGATACTCACGAATTTTTTTAAAAAGAATTTCAGGTTTTTTTGTGTATAAACGTTCATACATGACATTATCATTAAAAGGTCACGTGTTTTAAGGGCTGTCTTTGCTTATGGAAAAAGAAAAAACCTCATATAAACTTTATCGGCTGCTAGCAATTCTGCTCCATCATACTTAGCTGTCAACATGTTAGGCTATCAATAAATCGATCAACATGTCAGAAAAACAAGACCCTGTGGTTAAGAAAGGCTTGTATATAACATGCTATAAGTACATACATAAGTAATATGTGTTTTAAATCAGATTAATTTAACTTTAAATTTGCTAATTTTCCTCAAATAACGTTTCAGAAATATATATTTTATTTTTACAAGAATTTTAAAACCGAGAATTAACTTTTGTTTACAAATGCGTTAAAATAGCCGATTTCATCGATTTTACTGAAACAAATCGATTCCAATCAACATAATTTCTGTCTGAAATATACACCACAGAGTATTTTGCTTATTAGAAATAGTGAATTTTTTTAATCCTTTAGCTTTCAATTAAAGCTAAAATGAAAGTTTTTTCATTTAAAAAAAAATCCTAAACCTTACGTATCGCGAATTAGTGGGGTACCTCGTCAAAAAACGTTAAAATTAGTGGAGGTACCTCGTCCAAAACGTTTAAAAAATAAAACAAACAAAAAAAAAAAATGAAGGAATTTAAAAAACTTTGAATAATTTTTTGATCAGATTAAAAGAGAAAAAATAATTTATTCTTTGTATATTGAATTTTTAAATAAAATCTTTGATGATTAAAAAGCTGTCATGAAGTGATGTTTTCTCAAGATTTATTTTTAAAAGAGCAAGGAACTTAAAAAAAGAATCTCTCTTTTTTTTTAACTGAATCATCGAACATTTAAGCAGGTGAAAGGAAAGAGTTTTTTTTTTCAACTATTAAAAATTATTTAAAAAGAAAAACAATATTCTGGGCTATTAATTTAGTCTGGCACGAAACCATAGGGTCTGGGTACACAATTTGGAGACCGAAGTCATACTTTTAGTTTTGCTACTTTACTTTTTTTAATTTTTTTATAGAAATTCTGTAATGCCAGATGAACGTACTAACTTTCGCGACATAGGAGACGGGCCAAAATTTCTTCATGAATTGAGTTTGACTGCTTGATTCAAACTGTTTCAATGATATTTTCATTGAAGTGGTAACATTGTTTCTGTGTTGGTCTAGGCAAAAAAGTTGAACTCTAAGGAAGTATTTTTTTTCACTGATTGCAGCGTTATTTCAGTTTTTTTAACGTAACGATCAATTTCAAGTCAATCAACTCATACCCCGCGCCTGCACCGATCGCAATATAAAAAAGTTTTTATTTTAAAATTTTGTAAGCATTGCATTTTTCCTGGGGAGTTCATTTTCCTCAGTGGGGCCAGTTCACAGTTCAAGCGAACAAAAACAACATTGGTAACAAAACAACTACTAAATTTTAGTTTTAGTTCTGAATGGGTAACAACAACAAAAATGGTAATCCATTCTTTGATTCTTACCTCTCGGAAAAAGTTGTTTCGAAGAATATGTATGAATTTTTTAAGGAGTTAAATTAAGCGAAGGCATGTAAGAATTCTTTAGTTTAAAATGTTTAGTTTATCTTTTTTTAAAAAAAAACAAAACAAAAAAAACGACATCGATAATAATTTTATTGACAGAAAAATATTTTTATCCCCATACTAATATCGTGGGTCGGGCTTTTGGCCTGA